TGTTAGTTTTTCTTTAATATTATATAGTTACACATTAAATTTTGTTTTTGGATGTAGCATTTGCAATGTAACATTTTTCAGATTATACTATCCAAGATCTTGTTCACACTGAAGATTTTTTAAAATTTCAAAGCTGTACATCTATGTATTTCATTATTACATCACTGCCTTCCTCTCTAATTCAATTGATGAAGAGTAATCTTAAAGCATCTAATATAGAGACACAAGAATGGATTTAGCTAGCGCTTGAATGACAGACCTTAGAATGCCATATATATAAAAGAGCACTTCTAGATACATTAATATTCTCAGGCAGCGATTAGCAATGTAACATCCACCAGACAGACAGCCAGACAGGACAGACGGAGAGGACAGACAGACTGTTGCAAGACCTTATTTGGGAATGCTCAAATCAACGTTTGGTGATATTGGAAAAAAAATGCTATTCCAGGCTCTCCAAGAAACATTTAGATTCTTACCTTTTTGTTCTTTGTGTAATTATTTTTTTTACACATTTGTATTGTGATAAAAAGTTTTTTAATTACAATGATATATACTGTCACTAGATAGACATGAAAGGCTTTTCCAGCAGCAAGATGTAGTCCTGATAGCAGCCATATGAGAAATTGCCCTTTAATCCTCATAACAGATGCTGAACGTCTTTTGAGATTGCAGGTAACAGGAAGGGTGTGTTCTATGTATTCTATCTATTCTTCTCTTCCTCTTTTTCTCAAGGATTTACATCCTATTTAAATCAGCAGCTAAGTAACTGAAGGAGGAAAATGCCTGATCCCAGGTGCCAGGTTAGTGTCAGATTTTATTAATGTCATAGCAATTGCTGGCATGAGTTTAATTTTGATTTCCCATTACAGAATGAAACTTGGGAAAATTAAATATTGCATGGTAAAATATTTCTGTGTAATCTAAAGAAAAGGTTAGAGTTTTATTTTTAATAATCCTCTTTAGTCCTGCAACAGTATCATCTTCAAACTTCTGAAATGTAGAGGCTTCTGTAAACATAAAATAAATTGAAAACCCTTTATGTTGTGTTTCTACTCTTAGTTCTACTCTTTATTAAACAAACAAAACTGCATAATAATGGAAGGTAGTTCTCAAAAAATTGTATCTAAAGCTTCAATAGTATGCTTCTTTGTTTCATTGTGTATCCCGTCTCAGTGTCTGGAGGTGGTGGGTGTCTGGATGGGGAATAGCAGGGCTCAGTTCAACCCTAGCAAGACTGAGCAGCTTTGGGTTTTAGGTCTTCTGGATCCAATGATTTTCCATCTTTAGTTCTGGATGAGGTAGCACTATTCCAAATAGAACTGGCATGCAATTTGGGAATCCTCCTGGATTTGCACCTCCTGTTCAAGGAACAGGTGGCCAGGAGGGCTTTCACAAACTTTATATTGTACACCAATTTCACCCCTTCCTGGGTCAGGGGGCACTGCACACAGACACTCATGCTTCCAAGTGGATTATTGCAATATGCTGTACATGGGACTGCCTTTGAAGAACATCTGAAAGTTGCAATTAATCTAAAATGCAGTGGTACAAGAAATTATGGGTGTGCCTCAGTATACCCATGTTACACTTTTGCTTCACAAGCTGCATTGGCTCACAATAGTTTTCTAGATGCAATCCAAATGCTGGTTGCTGCCTGTAAAGCCATTCATGGCATGGGACTGGGATATTTGAGGGACCATCTCTCCCCAATTGTTTCTACCAATTCCATTAGATCTGCCATGCTGCAGGTCCCATTGGTTGAAGAGTGTCATCTAGTGGGACTCAAGAAGTATGCCTTCTCTGTTGTAGCACCTGCCCTTTGGAAGACTATTCCACCAGAGATTAGATTGGCCCCAGCCCTGCTGGCCTTCTGTCCTTAAGGCATGTCCTTAAGGCATGGGGTTTAGAGGTAGTTGAACTGGCGAGTTGTGTGATTTTGATCTGATGGGCTTGCCCTTAAGTGCCATTTTCCCTTTGCTTCTGTTTTCGTGTGCTTTTATTATTTTTGTTATTTCATGCGCTTTTATTATCTTTGTTATCATGGTGGTTTTTTTATTGCTTAGCTAGCTCAAATTGCTTTGCAAAATGAGTGGCATATAAATCAAACATTTATGCTGCAGTCTGGGACTCACTTTCTTAAGTTTTACCTTTGATTGAACTCAGTGAGACTTCTAAAATGAAATTTGCATTGCCCATTCCTCTACTGTGCAAATCCTTCTTGGCCTTTTATGTAAAACTCCTGGATTATAATTCTAATAGCTACTTAATTATCTCCTATTACTACTGCAATATGTTCTTCTCACTTCTTTACTTAGTTTGCCCCTTGAACCAGGCATAGTTTATTTAACAATTTTTTTGCTTTCTCTTTGCTAGGTTCCTCAATATTTACAAGTATAGCCATTCATTAAACAGGTCAAGAAGCCCATGCTATCACTACTGAAGGAATATCAGCCCTTTGGGAGAGCTTTTTTTTCTTCCCTTGTTAATTTAGGACTTCTGTGTCCAAATGAAAGGCAGCAGAATAGAATAGAAGCCCATGCTAGTGAACTGGTATCATCCATTCCTAGAAAGAATTTTAATTAAGATGAGAAAAATCTGTTCTAAAATTTCAGTACAATTAGTCCTCACTTACTGATGGTAATTGGGACCAGAAACTCAGCCGTTAAGCAATGCAGTCATAAGTTGAAAAACCACATGACTATATTGCTTAGTGACAGCAGTTCCAGCAGTCCCAGTTGCCATCATTAAGTGAGGACTGCACAGTCCTTAAGTAAAGATTTCATGTTACCATAACTTCTGACTTCCTGCTGGTTTCCCCATTGACTCTGCTTGTGGGAAACTGGCAGGGAAGGTCACAAATCGCAATCATGTGTCTACAGGGATACTGCACCAGCCGTAAGTACAAACTCTGGTCATAACTACCACTTATTCAGTGCCGCCATAAGTTCAAAAGTCACTGAACGAGTGGTAGTTAAACAAAGACTACCTGTATTTTATATTGTACAACTTCAGTGACTTGGTGGAAAGACAGTATATAAATGTATAAATAAACTTATAAATTCAGTAATAGGTTTTGCATTTTTAAAGCCCCAGATTACATAGTATTTTCTCTGAAAAACATCTTTAGTAACAGGTGGTGCTACAGCTCTCATCCAATCATAGTACTAAGCTAGATAGACCAATGTTAAGTAATAAGGCTATGCAAAGCATTCAAAACATATTTTGCCATGTGTGTTAAATGTGAACAAAGGCTCTGAATCGTTAAAAGAGCCCAGACAGGGACAGCTTTCAAAGCAGCTGTGTGAACGTCACAAAAGCTGCAGCTACTCTGATGATTCAGTGAGATGGTACATTTGTACGAATGTGTATTGAAATGCTTTGCAAGTCCTCCAAAAAAAAACCCCTCTGTAAGTGGTAAATTTGGGGCAATCATTCTGACCTGAACAATATCACAGTTGTTGTGGAAATACTGGATCCACTGCTTTGAACTCATGGAAGAAAAGTGGGTCTAAATCTGATATTTATTTTATGCATTTGATTTATCTAGCTTGAAATGTTCATTCAGTGCAATTTGGGGAAACAGGTGGGAATTTTATTTCATGCAGTTTTGCTTTCCTGTGTGCTTTGCTCTTTATCCAATTTTATAATTTCTAGGAAAAAAGTGTTCTTAAACCCCACATTGACTTTTATTCATCTGAACTGTGGACTTTATCATCTGCTTTGAAATAGACGTTAATTAATTATATTTCAGTACATTCTTGGAGACACTTTACTTCACCTTTTAATTAACATGGTCATTCATATAGATGAAGAGCTGGCAGCACAAAATATTAATT